TCTTTGTGTAGCTGGTTTCAGTGTTTAAGCTCCCAGATATAAGCAACAGTTGACCTAAGAACACGTGAACATCTTGAAATCAAAGAAGTATCTGCTAAACCAAATAGTCAATAACCTTTTGTTCAACCTTTTCTCCTTCAATCACTCTGGGAGCACAGAAATCTGTTTACATTTGTTTTTTACATTTCACGTAAGAAAACTGAGAACAGTTTTTTGCAACCGGTACATTTATCCAGCCAGATTTGTGGCAGCAGAATGATTTCCTGTGTCACCATGTCCACAGGGGCTCTGCCATTGCCAAGATTGTGGGAGCCAATGCAGCCAAGTATGACAAGTTTGACACAACAGTGAACATGTGGGTGTTTGAGGAGACGGTGAACGGTCGCAAGCTCACAGAAATCATCAACACAGACCATGAAAATGTGAAATATCTGCCCGGTCACAAGTTGCCTCCCAATGTGGTGAGTCTGACAGCACTCTTTCTCCCTCTAGGACTGTTTATTGAGTCCAGAAGAAGGCATATACACCGTGTTTTATCTCTTTGCTGATCCCAGGTCTTACTCTGACTTCTCTCTTTCATTAGCTGGCTGTTCCAGACTTGGCTGAGTCTGTGAAAGGAGCTGACATCCTGATCTTCGTGGTCCCTCACCAGTTTATTGTGCGAGTGTGTGACACCATCAAAGATCACATAAAAAAGGATGCGATAGGAATGTCTCTTATCAAGGTAACATCATCCTAATAATTTTATTTTATTTTATTTTTTTTAAAAACAGTGCGTTAAAGCCTGAGAAATATTTTACAAATAAGTGAGGGGATTTTAACATAACTGGTTACTTTAGGGTGTCGATGCCAGTCCAGAAGGTCTGAAGCTGATCTCAGAGGTTATCCGAGGGAAGCTGGGCATCACCATGACAGTCCTCATGGGTGCAAACATCGCCAATGAGGTCGCTGATGAGAAGTTCTGTGAAACAACCATTGGTATGGAGTTTATTTCTTTGATAAATAATATTATTAAACGTAATATGGGAACAGATTGAGATTATTTGTCTATAATTTTAGGGTGCAAGGACAAAGAACATGGGTTGGTGCTGAAGGAGCTGATGCAGACCACCAATTTCCGTGTGACTGTGGTGGAGGAATCTGATGTTGTTGAGATCTGTGGCGCACTCAAGGTGTTTCATCCTCACCAAGCTAAATGCTTAAACATATCTATCTATCTATCTATCTATCTATCTATCTATCTATCTATCTATCTATCTATCTATCTATCTATCTATCTATCTATCTATCTATCTATCTAT